GATAATTACCTTGGAAAAACAGAAAGGTACTAACTATCTATATGAAATGGTGTTTAAGTGATACTTGAAGTCCTATTAAATGTAATTAAACGAGCAATAATACTTTGAGACATTATTTTCTAATATTTTTTACCATAAAACATGGTCACATTTTACCATTTTTTTGGGGGGGGGGGGGGCTTTAGCCCGAAAGCCCCTCCTTCCCCCCCCCCCGTAGATCCGCCTGTCTGCATAACCAAAATATAATAATACAAAACGTTTTAAATGTTTCTTTTTGAAAACTTTATTTAAACAAATGCAAAAGTTAGGGGGGAAATGCTATAATGAAAATATAAATACATAACAATATGATAGTAGTTTAATAACTCATTTATTTTATTTATAAAAGAAATTCAACATAAGAAGTTTTCCATTATCTATGTAATACAAACTTGTAAATGTATGTTTTACTTTTTATATATTTAAAGTATAATAAACATGCTTTATTTTATGTAAGTAGTGAACAAATAAAATACCTATATGTATTTTTAAATCTCGCCTGTTCAATCACCTCTTATCCGTTACGTCACCATAAAATTGTAAATAGATTTTAATATGTATATAAATTATTAGCTCGTTTTAAATGTTTTTATTTTACTTTGATTTCATTTTTTGTGATTATATCTCTGAGGCTCCAAAGCTCACATTTCTATCTCCTTATATTATTCTAAAAGAACTTGTCCAGGAATAAATAAAGTATTTTTAATATCACAATGCTCTGATATTTCGGACTTACGAGGCAGGATGCTTGGATTCACCGAAACTGTTTCAGCTTTTTGTAGTTCCTATAGAGAAGAAATTCACGAGTTCCTGCATTCTAATGTGTTTCGGATTTACTTGCTAATGTCCCTTAAGTACCCGAGGGCTCTCTCTCTGAAAGAGTCCGATAAGGGCGAGGGAAGAAAAACGACCGAGTTTGATGTATGGCTTTGGATTGAGGTTGGTGGAGCCACTAGCCGAACAACTAATCTACTATATTAATAAGAGGGACTGCGCGGGCCGTGGGTGGCTGCGTGGGTTGGTTAGCTCGCCGGCTAAGTAACCGAGAGGGCTCGCAACTTGGAAAATGTTTTAAGGGAGCCGTTGACCCCGGATGGAATTGGATTTACATTTGTGCCATTTTAGCTTCCAATGACAGGGGCTCTTAATATTACGTCACGAGTCTTCAGTTACCTAATAGAGCTATGTTCCTCTTTTAAGTTGATGGTCAATGGCAACGTTTCATGTACAATTGTGTTTGGTAGTCATGCAGTTCGTCTGATGATGTTAAAATAGTGCATTACGGTGTACAGCAAACATTCGCGAGTTTCGGTTATACGCGAATATTAATACAGTTCTCATGATATCAAAATAATTCCTTACAAAGTAAAGCAAACCATTCTCTCATGGATACCCTCAACACTCACGAGTAAAATACAACTACATTCCTCTTTATGATATCAAAATAATCCATTACACAGCATAACAGTAAATATTTCCTCGTGGAATCTCACAACATTCGCGAGTTTTAGTTATTGCTCGAAGGCAAAGTATAGTTAACAATCCTCATATATACTCTAAACAGCACTAGCGGATCCAGGATTTAATTTTGGAGGGAGCTTCAGCCCGAAAGCTTTTTTTTTTATAAAAATAACGAAATTACTTTATAAAAAACAGAAAGAAACTAACTAACTATATGAAATGGTGTTTAAGTGATTCCTAAAGTCCTTTTACACGAACAATAATACTTCAGTGTTTTTAAGATTTTTTTTTTCCATAAAACATGGTTATATTTTACCATTTTGGGGGGCTTCAGCCCGAAAGCCCCTCCCCCCGTATATCCGCCCGTGCTAACCAGTAAACATTCGTGGGTTTCGGTTATGCGTGAATACTAAACGTATTTGAGTGTTGGGTGTTTTGCTATTCTCGAAAGGCACCTCTTAAAAAAAATTAAGAAAATCCGAGGATAAAAAATGAGTTAAGGGAGGAAAATATTGGAGGAATAACAATTGACAAAATAAGTTGTCCTTGAGGTTGGGCCAGGAGTCCGAAACGTCGACACAAATAAAATAATAAACAAATTATTTATAAACGGAAAAGGTGCCTTCTTATTTTCATTTATGAACTGGTTGATTTTCCCTAATAAGAATCTGACTCATCTGTAATCTGTTGTAAAAAAAAAAATAAAAAAACGCACTTAAATTGTTTAATATAATCTCCAAGGTCTGAGTGATACCAGATGTATGGCAGTTATTTATTTTCTTTAAAAAAAAAAAAGAAAGAAAAAGCTTATGAAGCATGTCCCTCCTATTATCTGGATTCGCATTGGGTCGTGCTGGCATTCCTGTGGTAGTCCCTCTTACCTGAGCCTCAGGCCGGCTGGCCAGGGGCCCCTTGAGTCGCTAACATTTACAGCGCCCCCCCCCCTCTCAACACTCTCATGCTGATTTTTCAATTTCCTCACGTAACCCAACCAGGCCATGAATTGATCGTAATTAACATTTAGCAGTCGTGTGCAATCCGCTTTCTCGAAGCAGGAGGAAATAAAAGATCCTAAGGCTAATAAAGCTTCCAGTGTGTGCGGCTACAATGGTCCCCGATTTCCAGATAAGAAACCTTTTGTACTCCCGGAATATTTCCTGCTAGCTTCTATAGTCAGTTTAATCACTGATCTTACACCATCCTACGTCTATTGATCGCTTCCGCATCCGAGCTCTCGTGTCGTTACAATGGTGCTTGTTTTTTTTCGCAAACACCGCTTTCTTCGGTGATTAACTGTTCCTCCGGTTAGCGTTTAGCCTCTCTTATGTATCGCCGGCGGGGATGAAAGAGGAGAGAAACGAAAATTTTCAAGAGAGGGAGAAGCTCCCTTTTGGATGTGATAATTGTTCGTTTGTGCGTGAGTGTGAATGGTCGGCTGCCCCGACAAAAGCTGCAGCTGCTGAGGCAATAGCTAACACAGTGGCCTTCCTCCCTTTGATATACAATATTCCAAGAGTTCACCCTCCACTCTGAACCATATCCATGGCAAACAAATCATTTTCTCTCGTGGAGTGCACATTATAACCGCGCTTAAAATCGGAGGATCGCGTGCTTCTATCGGTTTACCTAGTTTGGAAATGCATTTATGAACACTCCAAAGGACAACTATGGACGTATTGGATGCGACACAAAGGTTATTCTGCAATGTAATTGGTAGGTATATTAATTATTGGTCCTTCTATTTAATCAAAGGATACCTTTGTATTGTGCCATGTACGATTATGGAATTAAGATCTAAATTAATATTTTAAAGTTATTTGAGATACCATAAGATGGGGTAACTTTGGGACAGCGGATAAAATTTAGTTTGTGGTGATTCCGTCTGCAAAACCGTGCTTTGTGTAGGTATGTACTCGTGCAGTTAGGTTTCATTTATTTCCATTGCTTTTTTTCAAAATTCTTGTTTTCATAAAACTTTCGCTTGTGCCTCAAGAGCACTGTGCCGCAATCTAGTAACGCAATACATGCGATGTCGATGCTGACTGAACCAACACAGTGTACCCACCACAGAATCACGACAAACTAAATTTTACCCGCTGTCCCAAAATTACTCACCCAGTCCCAAAGTTACCCCATCTTATGGTATGTAATTTTCAGAAAAGCTGGTTTTCACCGTTGTAAATATACAGTGAAGACTTCTAGGTTTTATATCGCATCACATCTTCAAATACGTTTATAAAAAAAAAAACGAAGCAGAAAGTGAAATAGGAAAAAAAACATGTTTATACCTTACGTACATTTATATTTCACCCTATAGAAATGTTAAAAAAACAACTATATTCTGGAAAAAAATGTGTGAATGTTATATCATTCAATAAAGTAAATAAACAAATCATTTTTACTCTGGGGCGAAGTCCCTTAAGAATAATAATAATGCACATATGATTAAACATTAACTCTGGCTATGAGAACTAATACTATAAATGAATAATTAAAAAATAAATGATAAATGTAAGTATGTACATAGTTATCAAAGATATTTTAAAAAAAAAAGATAAGCCATATTGTAACAATGTATTTGTTAGTGAATAATACAATAAATAAACTAAGGCAGAGAAGGAAGTGAAATTTAGCAAAACATAAATAAAATGATTTACATCTATTATTTATTAGTAATGCAATTATTAAATAATGATGTATAAGACATTAAAAATTGTTTACAGAAAACTTCTAGTATTTACGCTGTGTAATAGCAACCCATTATAGTTGGGCAGTCCATTATAGCTATTTTAATTAAACTTCTCTCTCAAACATTAACAAGCAATACATTGTCTAGTTTAAAAAAAAATAAAATGTTTAGAATATTTGAAAATGGCTGACAAAAGCCTAAACGTTGTATAATATATTAAATAAAAACTTTTGTTTCTTGTTAAAAATATTTTTTACTTGTGAAATATATTTGTGGTGATGTTAAGGTATTTTAAAACCTTAATCTATGATTAATTAAATTTCACAACAAAACTTCATATCATTTAAAATAAATTATTCCTGATTTCTTCTTTTTGTTGCAACAAATTGTTATTCAAGTATATGTGTTTAACTATAAAAAGTAATAAACGGATTGAATAAGATGACGATGGGAGCACAAAGGAAATAAATTGGACCTAACATAGTGAATGTTTCTGACGATGGGAATTATCATTTCTCGAAACCTAAAACAGCTAAAGGGGAAAAAAATACCAGTCACAATGAAGTTATTATTTCCAGCTGTAAATGAATTATACTATCTCGTATCTCAGTATTGGGTTCGTTTCAAAAAGAACTGGAGATTTGATTATCGTCAACAGTTTTTGTGTTGCCTTTTCTTCTTTTCGTGGAAGAAACTCATGGGTACAACAAAATACTAAAAATGAATTTCTTAAACTTACGTTTAAAAAAAAAAAATTATTAAAACGCCAGCGTTATGGTCGGCGTTAAAATATCGGGCTTCGGTGCTATTGAAATATATTAAATATGATTTCTCTAACGAAGAATAAATTTTTAATTATCTATGAAACTAATGATTATATATCGTATAAGCTATTAGCTAGACTTTATAATATGATTTAAAAATGATGATATTAGAATTAGAAATATTAAATTATATATTTATGTTTTTGAGGGAGGGTACTATAAATTAAATATAAGTCAACCACCAACCCACAATTATTCTTCTGAAATTAATTAAATATTTTTTTATTATTTTGTTTTTATTGATTATCAATACATTCTGCAACATTAAAGGGCATTAATATTAAGGCTACATGAATCATTCACACAGTATGTACATACAAATAATAGCTAAGAAATAATAAAGAAAAAGAAATATAGGAAAATAAAATAAGTAAATTAATATGTCTGTGTACAAAAAATGAAATAATAGATGAAAGCTAAATAAAATTAAAGTAAATAAAACACATTCACACCTATATACAATAAAATTAAATAAAAAGTGGAAAAACTTGTTTAACAATAATTCCGATAGAAGGAAATAAGTTTCTTTTATCGAAATTATTTATATACAAGTACATCCACTCATGTTTAATTTATGTTGCCCACTCTCGAAAATATAAATAAATATTCATAATTTTAAATAATATTTTTTATTATTATTTTTTTTTCAATTTCGCAATTGTATACGATTTTGATATAAAGAAATACATTTTCTTTGTCTTTTCGCATTTTTTTTTTTCATTTTTTTTTTTTTTTTCTTTTAATGGGGTCGGATAATTTTATTTTGACTGATCATCCCAACCATCCTTCTCTTCGATTATTATTCTGATATAAATTAAATATAAAGTGGAAGAACTTGTTTAAAAAAAAAATTCCGATAGAAGGAAATAAGTTCCTTTCATCGAAATTATTTTTATACAAGTACTTCCACTCATGTTTAATTTATGTTGCCCAGTCTCGAAAATATGAATTAATATTCATAATTTTAAATAATGTTTTTATTATTTAATTTTTTTCAATTTCACTATTGTAGACGATTTTCATATAAAGAAATACATTTTCTTTGTCTTCTCGCATTTTTTTTTCATTTTTTTTTTCTTTTTTTTAATGGGATCGGATAAGGGAGAGCCGAGGACCGCGGTCATCCACCCTGGAGATAACATTTTTCCGAATTCCGTTCAATCCGACCAGTCCCATTTCCATTAGTATCTTAAAGTAAAACAAGAAATAGATGGACTACTTAAGGAGGGGGACTCTGGAACCAGTTGTGGCCAAGCAACTCCACCACCTCTAAGCTCCTTAGTCTAGTAATTCATGATCCTTTTATACTCAGCATTTATCCTGTAATTTCCATCCTTTCTGTTACTTGAGGAAACATTTTCTTGAGAAAGGTGGTATTTTTTTTATAATTATGATCTGTAAGACATACTCTGCACGTGGGTTATTATAGAACTTGAAAATTATTATAGAAAATTAATTCAGTTTTTAATACAAATTAAAGATTTTTTAAATATAAAATACAGAATATACACCAATCTAAAACATTAAAATTAAACTGCATTAGTGCCAGAAAAAATCCAGATTTAGGGCAAGTTTTGTTTTTAATTTAGAAGATGCTAAAATTATTATTATTAAATAGGATCATAAGTTTTGAAAAATGTTTGCTCTATATTTATATTTATATCGGCTGATTATTTTTGTATGTATTTATTCAATTTTTTTTTATTTTAATAAAATTTACTACAGTATTACATAAAAAATACAACAAGTAAATATTAAATTGCTAACATGATGTACAACATGAAGAGAAAATACTCTTTGGTTGAACTCGAATTAAAGTTCTATATTAGAAGGTCCCGAAACCATCTTCTTTTCAGACGCCTCGGAGGATTATCGGGAATAGAAGAAGAAGCTAGGTTAGAAACGAGAGGGTTAGGATAGTTGAGAAGGAGAAGGATAGGTTTCAGGTTTGAGCTAAATCGGAAACATATGGTATAGTGAGTTCGTTATGGATGATTTTATTTGTGACAAAGTAAGGAGCATTGAGAATTTTACGAAGGATTTTGTATTGTAAGGATCGATTACGAGAGGAATTCGATGGTTTAGTAGAGCCACAAAGCTCGTATTGATTTTTCAAAATAGTTTTTATGGGTGATAAATATTCAGGACCCAGTCTTTTTGAATTTTTTATTTATGCCAACGTTTCAACCCAAACATATGGGTCATCTTCAGGCCTGAAAATTTTTAAAATACAATCAGAGATATAATAGTATACGACCGATAATGATAAATAATAAACTATAGTGATTGATGGTACATGAATCTTAACTAATATTGCAATACGCATATAAAAAAAATTTTTTTTTTTATTATTTTAATGGAATTTACAACTGTATTACATAGAGAATACAATAAGTAAATGAGAAATTTGTAACATGGCATGTACAACATGAAGAGAAACTACCCATTGGTAGAACTCAAATTAAAGTTCTATATTAGAAGATCCCG